GATTTAAGCCGAGCCTCAAATCCACGTCCTCTGACCGGGGTTGGCATCCGAAATAGTTAACCACGAAGGTGGCACAGGTACAGTGGCCGAGACTGCTTAGCTGCTTACCTAACGAGTTTCCTTTTCTCTTTGGGTCGGCAGCTAGACCAGCTTCCCCAGCCTCCTTGTAATTAGAAGCGATGTGTGCCATTTCCCGGCCCAGCCCCCAAATCTTTCAGGAACAGTGACTCTGGAAGACATGCGCTCAGAGGGCAAAGTGCAGAGAGAAGGAGCCTGGGCCCCAGATGCCCACTTAGAGGAAACCCACCCAGAAATCAGGAACACCCATTTTAGACGTTATCTGAAAGATAAGCTGTGTTCATCCTTGAGTCACTCTACATTTTGTGTTACAGAAGCTCACTTTACCCTAATGAATTCAGGCCCCCAACCTATTAGAACAGAGGTCAGCTGTAGCACCCTATTAATTGTTGGGGGAAAGTAAATTCCCAGGCGGTCCATCTCTCTGTAGCCTCAGGATAGCCCTTTGAGAATGAGGGGCAGGTGCTGGCTGTTGGGTTTGGGGCTGGGGTGGGGAGTTTTGGGATAAGGGAGCCCCACTGTCTCATGATCTGGTCACCACAAGTAAGACAGCTCTCCCCACCCCCAAACACAAACACTGAGTGAGTCTGGTCTGTGAACTATAATGATTCATCTTCCTAGGAGCTCTTGTATCCAGTCAGATCCCCTCATCTCAGGGGCATATTTTGTTCAAAGAAACGTCACGCTCCTTCCTGAGCATTTCTACCATCCCAGCCAATCCGCCAACACCACTGAATCAAGTTCAGTTTTCCATTTCTGTGATCCTGAGTTCTAGCTGTACATGGAATCTGGAAAAATAATTAACATTTGTAGAATGCTCACTCTTCACCAGACTTTGTGCCAGGCGTTTAATATGGTTCATAAATCACATTCTTCATGGTCCCTGTGATGTCCAGAGGCCCTTCTGAAAAGAACTTCCCCCCAGCCATTCCTGAATGGGGGGCTGGGGCACAGGGAATGTGTGGCAGCCATGCTTTATACCAGTTTGTTTCCAGCAGTAAAAAATTGTATTGTTTTTAAATTTAAGTCTTCCACATTTCTTATTAGGTCTATTCTTAGCTTTGTGTATAGTCAATAGGATTCTTTTTCTGTCATGTGTTGAAATTGTCTACTGTTTGTTTATTAGAACATGATTTTTGTATGCTTACTGTACTTGGTCACCTTTCTAAACTCTCAGTTTTACTAGTTTTTAAGTTTGTTCTCTTTCATTTTCTAAATAGAGAAGTATCTTCTAAATAGTAAAATCTTGTAATAGAGAAGATAATGATTTTTCTAACAGCTTTTGGAGGTATAATTTATACACCATACCATTTTCCTATTTAAAGGGTACAATTCAATGTTTCTTTAGTATAATCACAGAATGTGCAGTCACCTCCAAAATCAACTTCAAAACAATGAATGGCAATTTAAAAAAAAATTTTTTTTTCCCTTATTGAATTGGTTAGCGTCACCAGTAGACTGTTACGTAGTGCTGGTGATTATGGTCACCCTTGTCTACTTCCTGATTTTTCTGGAATGTCTGATTTTTCACCATTGAATAGGATATTTACTAATGGTTTTTGGTAGTTAGACTTCATCAAGGTAAGAAAGATTCCTTCCACCTCAGCTTGCCAAGAATTTTATGTTCTTATTTAGAAATAGGCATCTGTTGATAAATAATCGAATTCATTCATCAAAGCATTTATTGTGGGCTTCCCTGGTGGCGCAGTGGTTGAGAGTCCGCCTGCCGATGCAGGGGACATGGGTTCGTGCCCTGGTCAGGGAAGATCCCACATGCCGCGGAGCAGCTGGGCCCGTGAGCCATGGCCGCTGAGCCTGCGCGTCGGGAGCCTGTGCTCCGCAACGTGTGAGACCACAACAGTGAAAAGCCCGCAGACCGCAAAAAAAAAAAAAAAAAAACAAAAAAAAAAAAAGCATTTATTGTAATGGGAATATCTTCTCTCCATTTTAATCTAGTCCTGTAGCAAATTAATAGATTCTCTGCTGAAAACCATCTTTGGATTCTTTACATATAATCCTTTCTCTTTAACATTTATTTATTTATCTTGGTTGCACCGGGTCTTCCTTGCGGCATGCAGGATCTTTAGTTGCGGCATGCATGTGGGATCTAGTTCCCCGACCAGGGATCGAACCTGGGTCCGCTGCATTGGGAGCTCAGAGTCTTACTGATTGAACCACCAGGGAAGTCCCTACATATAATCCTTTTAAAATACCATTGGATTTCGTTTGCTAATAGTCTATTTAGAACTTTTGCCTTTAAGTTTTTAGTGCAATTAACCTATAGTTTCCTTCCTCCCTCCCTTCCTTCCTTCCTCCCTTCCATCCTTCTTTCTTTCCTTCTACCCTTCCTTAATGGGATATGGTGAGCCAAGGTCACGCTTTTCTCAGAAGGCTTCCAGGTAATGACTAAAAGACTAGAAAGAAGGTACAAGTGCCTGACCATTTCTGTAGGATCCTCTAATGCAGTCTTTCCTCTGGAGCTTCTCGTTGGGCTGGCAAAGACTTGGTCAGACCCGCATCCTGGTCTGACAGCTTTCCCTGCCCAATCTGGATCCTGCCCTTTCCCTTTCACAGGTTTTACTCCACAATAAACTGTCTGTATGCCCAACTCCAACCAGCATGTGCTTCCCAGAGCCCGCAGCTGACACACATGCTACCCTTGCCAGCTTGATATAAAGCTTTGCTCATTTCCTACACTCTGGAAGAATTTATGTATCCTAGAAACGATCAGGTCCTTGAAAATTAGATGTAGTTCACCAATAAGACCATCTGGGCCTGTGGTTTGGTTTTGTTTTGTTTTAAGGGAAAGGACTTTGACAATAGTTCTAATTTCTTCTGTGCTTATTGGTGTATTCAGGTTTTCTATGTCCTCTTGTATAAATTTTGGTAATTTGTATTTTCCTAGAAAATTCTGTATTTTGATCTAGATTTAAAATTTTTTAATTAACTTAGAGGCCCCTTCTCTACAAGCTGGGGAGAATTACAGGCATCTAAGTAGTCTCCTGGGACCTGGTTTATTGCTGGAAACCTGGAGGTTCCAGGGCAATGTGAGAAAGTTCTGGAACCCAACTTGGTTCCCAAGCCCTAACAAAAAAGTAGTAGAGTGCAGACATGTTAGCACTGGAAGGGGCCTTAGACACTACCTTACAGGTAAGGACACAGATCCAGACAGGGGAAGTGACTTGCCCATGCCCACACAGCTCTGTGATAGCAGAGTCAGTACTGTGCCCCAAGTCTCCCCGCTCCCAGCCCTGTTTGGGCTGCAGCCAATCTGATAGTTTATTGAGAGGCACTGATGGGAAGATTCCTGGGATTCGTGAGGTGGTAACAGCCTCATTGTGGGTGGGACCTGGGTTCCAGCCCTCGCTCTGTGACTGTGGGCAAGTTACATAATCTCTCAGCTTGGGCTTCCTCAGGGATACGGTAAGAATAATAATATCTTGCTCCTTGGGGCATTGTGAGATTTAAATGGAAAATTGTCTATGGAGCAATTAGTACATTGCCCGCACCCTACAAAGCACTCACTCCACGGGAACCACTGATACCGTTGTTACTGATACGTGCACTGCTCTGAGAAACCAGATTTTGGCTCTGGTGCAACAGTTATTTTTTGTGACTTGAATCATAACAATCCCCAAGGTAGTAGTATTTTCTGTATTTTACAAATAAGGAAACTGATATGCATGTCCAACCTCAAGTCTTCAGATCTGGATCAAACACAACTATGTTTTCTAATAAACCTCTTAGCAGGTATGGTCTCAGCAAAATTACCACCCAGCAAAGTTTATTTTACTACCTGCTCCGCTTCTTTCCAAGCCTCTCCCCACCAAGCTGGTGTGAGGAAGAGAAAGTTGGGCACAGTCTGATATTCCTGGGTAAGAGTAACACCCTAAGGAACCACATTTCCCAGGAGCCCTCACGGCAATCTAGAAAGTTCTCCATTCTCCCAGCACTGGCAGACAAATCCAGCCAGGACATGAGAAGATCTACTTGTGTCATCCTTAAAGCAGTGCTACCCAATGCATTTGCTGACTAAGAGCCTATGTGCAGGGGAGGAAAAAGTTTTCCTCAACCCTCTTAGGGTCCCAGGCTGGGTCTGAAAATTAAACTGACAAAGACAGAGTAACAGGAGAAAAGCCTACACGTCTTATTGAATTTTTACGTGTATGTGGAGATTTCACAAAAGCATGAAGAGCCAAGGAAGTGACCAGAACAGGAAGCTTTTATAACTTTAGACAAAGAAATAATCCATTTTTGAAGAGTTGTCAAAACAAAAGGGTTGGGACTAAGGGCAAGTGGTGAAGAATTAGCTAGGAAGAAAAGGGTTAGTTTAACAATGTTTGTTTGTACAGATTTCTTGGCCCCACTTCCCCGTCTCTGGTGACGAGAATGTATTCCTTCTTCCTGGTACAGGGAGGGCACCTTTCACATGGGAATTTCATGACTTGTTTCAGGGAAGAAACAGGCAGTGATCAGAATGACCTTCCTGCTTTTGCCATTTTCTCAAGACATTCGATATGTCAAAGTGCCGTATTTTGGGGTATCATCTACAACATCTGGGAGCTCGTCAGAAATGATGATTGTGGGGATTCCCTGGTGGTCCAGTGGTTAGGACTCCGCGCATCCACCACAGAGAGCATGGGTTCGATCCTTGGTCGGCGAATTAAAACCCCGCATGCCGTGCAGTGCGGCCAAAAGAAAAAAAGAAGAAAAAAAAGAAATGATGATTCTGCCCCAGCCCCACCCAGACCTACTGAAACATCAGTTTCTGGAGGTAGGGGGCGGCGATATGTTTAAGCAACCTCTGCAAGTGCTACTTCAGCACAACAAGGTTTGAGAACGTCTATGCTAGGGGACCAATAAGAAGACATAGGCGTGGACAGTCTCTGTAATCTTGTGTTTCCCCAAGACGGGAGCGCTGACCTGTGCCGAGGGCCTTTCCCAAGGAGGATATAGGACTGAAAAGAAGAAATTGCATCAAGAATGTGGTTCCTCCTTTTTGTTACTCTCCCAGCTTTTGTCCAACACGTTGTTCTTCACCTTCAACAAAATACCAAAATGAACGTGATGGGTGTGGTATGTTTGGCAGCCTGGGACAAATCAGAGAAGGATGTGAAATGGGTTCACACCAGATAGGACCGAACCAGGCAGGATAGCAGCTCAACTGGAGGACCTTGGCAGGTGTGACGGGGTTTCGGACGGGAGGTGGGCCTCAGTGTGTGCTTTAAAAAGAAAAAAAAAAAAAAGGGAATTCCTTGGTAGTCCAGTGGTTAGGATTCCGAGCCCTCACTGCTGAGGGCCCAGGTTCAATCCCTGGCGGGGGAACCAACTAAAATCCCACAAGCTACGCAGAACAGCGCCCCCCCCCCCAAAAAAAAAGAGAGAGAGAAAGAAAGAAGAAAAAGCCTGCTCATTTGTGATGCACATATCAGCCTTCAGCTGCTACCCTATTCTCACTCACTCAGGAGTGTGGGACCTTGCACAGGGGACGTGGCTTCTCTCAGCTGAGGGAACTATGTGTGTTAAAGTAACTGGTACATAGGAGGCACTCAGCACAGGTCACAGTAACCACACCTCAAGCCCTTGCTGTGATAGAGGGGCAGTACAGGGCTCAAGACAAGCCATCTTTTCAGTGGGCTCCAGCACATGGGGGGGCGCCCAGGGTCCCCTGCTTCAGGTCTCTCCCAGGGAAGCCACAGAGTCAGGGTTTGGTGTGACTCCTCCAAACCACTGAATGGATCTCTATGGCTGTGGCCCAGCATGGTGGCATTTGATGTGGCCACCATCTTGATGAGCAAAGACCACCCTCCCTGCCCCTGGAGCCTCTCCTTCTTGCTCTCCCCGCTCCTCCAGCCCCTTAGTGTTTTTTATGTGCTACCCCTGCGCCTGGCCTCCAGTATGGATGGCGGGTCCTTCTCAACCTCGTTTGTTTCCATGGCTGGTTAACGGGCAGGGGGAGGTAAGAGGTGGAATGGTGGGTTTGATTAGAACTGTGATGACCAGCTTTGGGGCACTGCATCTATAGTGTTAGGAGAATATACCTCCTGCTGACATTTCTGCTCTACCTTTTTATGTTAAAATTATATTTGTCTCCCTCCTAGCCTTGAGTTGCATTGTGAAGGTCTCAGGAATTTCCGGGCTCCAGGATGCAGAGGTGGGAAGAACACGTGCTCTCCATGCCATTACGAGTACCTGATGTTTCACCTGGAGCATCCTCAAAGGTATGTGTAGAGCCTCACTCTGGAAGCTTTTCCTTTTCATCTCACTGGAGTGCATAAGGACTTGGGTCATCAAACGAGGACTCTATCTTGAGGACTCAAGAGCTAAGTGGATGGTTTGTGAGGACTCTTCCCCAAACCACGGCCCTGTGCCCTTGTGGCTGAAATAGTGCTTGGTGGAACCAAACACAGCTACCTGACCCCACAAGAGACTGCGAAATGAACTATGCATTTCCTCGAAGACAACCATCTCCATAGGCTTTGGTCTAGAAACTCACCATGTGTTATCAAAATGTCCACTCTCAGAACTCTCAAAGCCAACTCTGGTCCAGACAATGACTTGATGAAATAAAACTGATACTTTAAGGCAAACCAAGAAAAAATTAAACATAAAATTCTGTGTGTGTGTGTTTGCTTGGGCCTCCTTCCTCCCTAATGTGCAGTGTGCAACTGCATTACCCATTAACCGGAGCTCCTCAAAGATGGGAACGCCTGCTCGACCGTAAAGGTCGATTTTTCCTTTCTTGTGATGTTAGCAGTGCAACTTCTTGAAAGAATAGTATTCTTTTTTAAAAAAATATTTATTTATTTATTTGGTTGCACCAGGTCTTAGTTGTGTCAGGAGGGCTCCTTAGTTGCAGCATGTGAGCTCCTTAGTTGTGGCATGCATGTGGGATCTAGTTCCCTGACCAGGGATCGAACCTAGGCCCCCTGCACTAGGAGTATGGAGTCCGAACCACTGCGCCACCAGGGAAGTCCCCAGAAGAATAGTGTTCTTTCCCAGTTCTGTAGAGGGTCATGAGCAACAAGGTGATTTGCTGCTCGCTTTGTAAGTGCTTACTTGGACTATGTATCCTGGATGCACTTTATGTAAAATATCAATATGTCATTTTGATGTATGATCCTTTGTCTCAAAAATGTGTATGACCATGGCTTTGAATTCTAACAGGCGGAACATCTCTCAGACCTTTCTGAGAATCTGCTTCCTGGGTGATAATCCTCAGTTTGGCTCAAATAAAATTCCCTTTTTTTCTTCTTAACTTGATAGTTAATTTAATTTTCATCGACAGGTTACCTGGACAGAGATGGGGTTAGGGGTGTAAAAGATTGGAGAGGCTCATAGCAACATAGTTTATTTTCTCCTCCAGGCCAGACCCAGCTCCCCCTACTGCCTTCACCTCTGTTTTATTTACGCCTTTCTGTTATAGCTCCTGCCTCACAACACTCGCAGTTCAGAGTACCTCTAAACTCCGTCACCAGAGTCCTCAATGCAGATGGAAAAACATTCTGGAGTTTTTGCATCTGGCAGTGAATATCCCACCTCTTAACCAGACTTGATCACTGACGGGGAGAACTTTGTTCCGACTCTGGCCCCCTACCCAGCCGGGTCCAGTGCCAGGGTGTGGCTGGCACAAGGTCATGTTCTGTAATGTATTAGCAGTAGAGTTGCATTTAATAAAAGCCAAGAGCTTCTGAACACACATGTTGGAGGAGAAAAGAAGCAAGTTAGAGCTCAGTAGCTGAGCAAACCTAGAGCATGGGTTGGGCGTAGGAGGGGAAGATGTTTTTCTTAGGACCACCGGCCCACGGTCCTAAAGGCCAAGAAGGAATCCTTGCTAGGACTAGGAGGAAATAGCAATCAGTTAATTCATTCCACAAATATTTCTTGGCACTGCTTTTCTCTGAAAATGATCCCCCAGAAAAGACTAACTCCAAGTAGTCTTACATGGGAGTCCTTGCTTGCTTGCTTCCTTCCTCCCCACCCCTTTCTTCATTCCCTCTCCCTCCCTCCCTCCCTTCCTTCCTTCCTCTTAAGTTATGACAACTGTCTGGGGAAGATGCTCTAGCCTGAAATGACCTCAACCGGTGCTCATTTGTATGTTTATAAAGGTTATCTGATGACACTGGTGAAAAACACAGGCAAAAAACTTTAAGAACAAGTTTAGTAAGTCTCCCTGGAGATAAGACCTCACAATGAAAAGAGTTGCATGTTTTCGTAAACAGGGATTTTAAAGGTCATTTAAAAATACCTTTAAAAAGCTCTGAAGATGACAGATATATATACCTACAGGGTACATGGAGGAGAAAACCTGTCCTAATGTTAAGTGAATGGGTAATTGTGGTGTGGGTTAACATTTCCAGTGTCAGCATCACATGGGGGTTCAGAAAGTACTGTCTTTCAAGCACTTTAGGTGATGTGAAAATGATATGGAGAGCCTTTCAGAGGCTCAGAAAGTGCTCCTATGAAGCTGTTACTTTCCTGCAGCCAACAGTGGGGCTGCTGGCCTTCCGGCTCTCAGATCTCAGGTCCTAGGGGAGGGAGGGTCAGTATCATCTTTGCTCCTCGGTGCTGCTGCCAAACCCTTCTCCCTCCTCCTTCCTTCCTAAAAAACCACCCGGTTGAATCTCCCTTTGAATCTCATCAAACTAGACAGCTGACCCCTTGCTTGTTGCCAGCATCCGCTCACCCCAGGCTCCTTGAGGATTTGGGGTTCACACTCACTCTCTCTAGCACTACTTTTGTTTTATCTCATGGGGATTTCAATATCCACATAGAAGGCCCTCCCCATGTCTCAGTGTCTTAGTCCATTTGGGCTGCTATAACAGAGGATCACAGACAGGGTGGCTTATAAACAACAGAAATTTATTTCTCACAGTTCTGGAGACTGAGAAGTCCAAGATCACCAAGGCATCCATAGACCGGGTGTCTGGTAAGAACCGACTTCCTGGTTCTTAAATGACAATCTTTTTGCTGTGTCCTCACCTGGTGGAAGGGGCAAGGGAATGCTCTGGGGTCTCTTTTATATGGACGCTAATCTCATTCATGAGGGCTCCACCCTCATGACCTAATCACCTCCCAAAGGCTCCATCTCCTAATACCATCACATTGGGGATTAGGTTTCAACATAAGAATTTGAGGGGGACACAAGCATTCAGTCTATAGCACCCAGCCTTGCAGTTCATGAGCTACTCTCCACTCATGACCTTGACACCTCCACCCCAACCACTCCCTCCCATGGTCATACCCTGGGGCCTGTCACCACCACCGACTACAGTTCTCCGTTATCTCCGTTTCTAGTGGTCCACTCTCCAGCCACTATGCTCTGTCTCTCCAGCTCACTCCTTCTCTTACTCAGACTGCAATAATTCTTCTTCCAGTCGGGACTTACAATCTATGACTCAACCACGTTTTCACTGGTAATTAGCCCCTTCATTGCCTCATTCCCTTCCTGACCCAACTTAGAGTTCACAGCTCATCGTTAGAGGACTTCTTGCGCACACCCACAGCCTCCGTTGTATTTGCCTGGCAGAACCTCAGCACAGCTGGCCTAATCAATGACAAGACGGAGAAACAAAGTGACAACAGATGTCTCCCCCTTTATCTCTCATCCCACTTCAGACATTGTTTCCCCTCTCTGCTCCCCTTGGACAGAACTCCTTATGAGTTGTTGAATTCCTATCACAAATTCCTCTTCTTCCCTTCTTTCTGGTTCCACCCTCACTGGCCCTGTCACCTCACTCCACTGAAACAGTTTGTGTCAAGACCTCTGAGGACCTTTTGTTGCCAAATCTAATGGGCGATTCTTTGACCTCATCTTGTTTGACCCTTTGATGGAGCAGCTCTCTCCACCTTCCTGACACATTCCTGGTGTGGACATGCACTCCCCTTGGATCTCCTTTGACTTCATTGTCTGCTTGTTCACATCTCTCTGACCCTAAACGTTGAGGGGCACCAGGATTCAGACCTTGGACCTTCCCTCTACCACTCCTCACTGACCTCATCCAGTCTCAAGGACTGAATGACTCCCGGAGTTAGATCTCCAGCCCAGATCTTTCCCCCAAACTCCAAACTTCTATCTGCAACTTACAACTTGAGCTCTCTACTTGGACGTCTAAGGACATCCCAAACTTACCATCTCTTATCCCTCCAAAGTGTTCCTCCTGGTCTTATTCATCCCAGAAAATGACAATTCCAGTTGCTCAGACAAAAAAAAAAAAATCTTGTAAGTCATCCTCGATTCCTTTCTTCCTCTCATGCCCTACATGCAATAATTAGTAAATCATGTTGGTTTACCTTCAAAATATAATACATCAGAACCCAGTGCTTCTTTCCACTGCTTCTAACATGGTCCAAGCCACCATCATCTCTCGCTGGAATTATTGCTGTAACCTCCTAAGTGGTCTCCCTGCCTCTGCCCTCATCCTTACTTCTACATAAGCAACTGGAATAAACCTTTTAAAACTCAAGTCAGATCAAATTGCTCCTTTGCTCAAATCTGTTCTGTGAGTTCTCATCTCATACAGAGCAAAAGCCCAAGTCCTTACAATGGCCCAAACACCTTATATTACCTGTTTTCTGCCGTCCCACTCACCTGATCTCCTACTTCCTCCCCACGTCACTCCGCTTCAGCTTCACTGGCTCCTGTTGGATGCCCTGAGCACATTCTTACCTTAGGACTTTTGCACTTTCCTGCCCCTTCTTCCTGGGACAATTTCCCCTGGATAGTCACATGCTCTTTTACTTTTTTTAAAAAAATTAATTCATTTATTTTGCTGCACCGGGTCTTAGTTGCAGCACGCGGGTCTTCGTTAACACGTGCAGGATCATCTTTGCGGCATGCGGGATCTTTAGTTGTGGCATGCGGGCTCTTAGTTGCGGCACGCAGGATCTAGTCCCCTGACCAGCTATTAAACCCAGGCCCCCTGCATTGGAAGCACGGAGTCTTAACCACTGGACCAGCAGGGAAGTCCCACGTGCTCCTTTATTTTGATGTCATCTTATCAAAGAGGACTTCTCTGATCACCCTGTATCAAGTGTCAAACCTACCCCCACCCCCGTCTCCCTGACCCCTTCAAGTCCTTCCTTATTCTTTCTTCTCAGAGAGGCAACTCCCAGACACTAGACAGAGAGAGAGCAGGGAATGGCAGGGACTTTGATGTTCTATCAGTGATGCTGGAACAAAAGCCAAACCCTGGCCCCTTTCCAGCCTCACCTCTTGTCT